CGGCCGGCGCTGGGCAGGGCGGGACGTGTAGTCCCGGCGCCCCCCGGCGGCCGGGTCAGGAGCGCGCGGCGGACTACAAGCCCCAGCGGGCCGCCGCGCGGGGCTGCTAACGGGCCGGGGAGGTAAACAACTCGGATGGGTCCCAGCGGCCTGGCTCCGGGCAGCGAGGAGGGCGCGGGACCCTCGGCCTCCCTGCTCCGGCCCCGGGGGCTGATCTGTGCAGGGTCCCAGCATCCTGCGCTGCCGCTGGCTTTGCTGCAAGACCCAGCTTGTCCCGCGTAGCACGAGCGCCCGCGACACCTTGCGAGGGGGCAGGCGCCGGGCGGCTTCGTTTCGCCCCATAATCATCAGGGTATAAAACGTGAAGACCAGCGTAGGGATGCGAGATGAGCACGTTTCCCACTCGGAGACTGCCGGGCCATTGGGAAGCAGAGGGGCTGGAGGAAAGGGGATGAGGTTTCCTTTTGGTCCCGTCTGTTTTCTTCTCTGGTGCAAGCTGCGCAGGGGCAGACGAGATGCTCCTTGCGTCGTGAGTGAAGTTGTTTGTCCCTTCGTGTCGGGACCAAGTCTTTAGGGCAAGTCGCTAGCAGCAGATTTGGTCCATTTAAAACACGCTCTCCTCTTCTTCACTCGTGAAGCTTACCCCCCTGCCCTGCGACACGGAAGTGGGGACAAGCGTGCGAGGAAGAGAAAGGGCTGCAGGAAGCCAGATTGCTCCTCTGCGTCAGAGTAAAATTCAGTTCCTGTCAGGTCTAGATATTTCATTCCTTGCGGTGGATGATGTGTTCCTTGGAAATGTGAATTAAAATTAGCATTCCCTTTCAGTGGGTCAGAGCGGAATTAGAGGAGTGGATTAGCAATAAAGCCCGAGGCACCAACACTACTGTTCAGCTGGTGTCCAAAATAGGTTAAGTCCTTACAACTGGGGGGACCCAAGCTAGAAGCAGAACAAGTCTGGTATGCACCCCAAACTGCAGTGTTTTTACAGTCACTTTGAACTTCTCTGTGTCCTTTTAGTAAGGATCTCAGCATGCACATACATCTCAGGAGCCTTTGACTTATTTCCCTTCAGTTTTCCCTCCAAGCACAGACTCATCCAGTTCCTGTTTACCCTTGCATTTTTGTTTTACAACTCAAAAAAGGCACTAGGAGAATAGATTATTTTTTGCTTCTGCTGGAAGCTACAGTTGTGGCTGACATGCAGAATCAGGCCTGAGTACCTTAGAAAAGATCGGTCTGAGAGCTAGTCTGCTTTGCTGACTCAGTGGCCATATAGGGTTGTCAGTGGTCATGTGGAATTGACCTCCGTCAGATGTCATTTATCTGGTATGTTCTCCTCTCTACCACTTTCAAAACCCTGCTTAGCTACTGAATATTATACCTAGCTTAAAACAAAATGAATGCAGTAAAATGTCCGCTTGGAGAAAGTTTGACGCTGAACGTACCAGTGTGATGCCTCCTGTTCAGTCTTCAAATAGATTAGTATGTTATGACTGAATCCATTCTGCTTTTCGCTTAAAGTTGGAAAGACATGGTTGTGTAAACAATTCAGCAGCTGAGCATAGACACACCGCTCTGGATCATGAGCAAATTGCAAGAATTTCAAAGGGAATATAGCTCTTAATGAAGGGGACACCCTCACAGGCATTTGAAGAGGAAGAAATGCATAGGCTGGGGAATTCACAGAATTAAGCTTTTAGTTTTATGGATTGAACACAACAGCTTGAGATCTGAATTCTTGACAGTCCTGTGCTGTGTTAGGAAAGGATAGGAGGTATCTTCTTTCCTGATTTTTCTTTCAGTGCTGGCTACACCATGTTAGTGGCATCCTTCAATACAAGGTTCAAGAACCTTTTCTTTCTGTGTTCAGATGGGGAAGGGAGTTGTTTGCAACTCTTGCTACCTTTTGTCACAAGGAGAGGATGTGATTTTTAAAACATAGTGGCCACCTTATAAGTTGCCAGCAGATTTCTCCAACAGCCAGGGAAACTAAAAGTTAGTTTTGATGGAAAAAAGAATGGGCTAGCATAGTAAGAACTGGCACGTTGTAACAACTCACTTCTAGTTTCTCTCTTAGATAACTAAGAGATTGCCTGCTTCTGTAGGAAATACCAAGAACAATGGAGATTTACTTTGGCCTTTTCTGGTGGGGCTGAGGAAAAGGAGAGGAATGGACTGTGGCCCTGTTCCTGTAGATCATTTGACATAGTTACATTCATAGATTTCTGCCAGATGTGCATAGAGGTGATGGAAGGAAAATAATAGCACGGGGAGAAGGACGTGGGGAGTAGAGTAGTCACAGCAATAAGGCTCTCTGCTCAGTGAGAACCTCTTTAGATGCATTAGAGAACAAATGCACCTAAATTCCTTGGAGTCTCAGACCAGCAGAGACTCCCTATGCCTGAAGAAGGGTGGCTGTGCCCAAAAGCTTGCCTAAAGCTTTTTCTCCAGCTACTCAGTTGGTCTAATAAAAGATATCACTCAAAGAACCTTGCCTGTATTAGAGAACAAATAGGAACTTACAGGTGAACGGGCATCTGCCCATTTAGGAAAACCCTATTTTCTAATTGCATGGGGGTGAGGGGAGGGCATGTGGTGAGGGGCAGCGGATTTTGAAAGTGTGCTTCCCGTATGTGCTTGATCACCTGCTGGTTGACACCCTCACTAAGGGCAGTGGACATGGAAACCATGTCTAAAGCAAAGAGCCAAAGCAAGAGAAACAGGTTTATATCCTGTATATAACAGGTTTCAGTATATACACATACTGAAAAGATGTATGTGTTTTCATATGCTTTGTGGTAAAGTTCTGCTATTTAATGCAAACCAACAAGCACATATCGATCACAATGTCAGCAGCCTTAACAAATAGTCTTCATTCTACAAAAAAGGAAGTAGTTTGGCAGTTATTAAACTCTTAGATTGAAAGAGGGCTTTTTAAAAGGATATTGCTGTGTAATTATTTTGGCCTTTAATGCGGTTGTAGAAGCTCTGTTGCCAAATAGCTTGGCAAGTGGCTTGGATATTTGTGATTTTTAAAAGCTTTCTGTTTTCCTGTCGTCTTGCACACTCTCAGCCCAGCAAGGGTACAGTACTTTACACGCAGCAACGTGCAAGTTGTCCCATTTGTGGGGCGCAGGCTAGACTGCATTACTTCAGTGGTACAAAGACTGGATATACTAAGGACTCTTTCATGGGTGAAAAAGCTTTCTACCTCTTGGGTCAAATCTAGACTTGGATTGATGGCAGATTACTTTGTTTCGCTGAAATAAAGGAGCTTGTGGTGTTGGTTCACATTTTTAGAGGTTTGCTTGTTGCACTTGGAACAGAGGCCAGCAATTACATAGGTATGGATATTTAGCTGGCTATTTAATGGTATATTTATGCATATTTAATAGTGCACATTTATGCATATATTAATTATGCATATCTAATTGCATAATTGGATATTTAGTTGCATGGATATGGATATTTAACTGGGATTGCTATCCTTTTAAAAGCATTAAGTAAAGCCTTGCATTACTTAAACTGCAGTTTCATAGGTAAGGGGGCAAGAGAAATAGCCTTTAAAAAGGGGAAACCTTGGATAAAAGAAGAAGCCTTCTCACTCATTATTTCAACTTCTTCTGTATCTATAGCAAGGTCATTTTTAAAAGGTGTTTAGGACTTGGCTTCACCCATCCTTGCAAATCCTGTTCAATCTCTTGCTGACTCCCAGCAAGACTTGCAGCACTTAAAAAGTGATTAAACATTGGGGGCTGATATTCTATGCCTATTCATTTTACTCCGGTGTAATTCAGCTGGTCTCAAATGAAGCAGCTTCCAGTTTGCATTGATATTCCTACAAAAAGAAAGGGCATTTAGATACCCTGATGTCACAGTCCCCTGAAGTTTGCATTCTCCTCTACCTGACAGATTTGAAGAGGCTGTTTGGCTGTTTACTGAAGCCCTTTTACAAGCAAAAAGGACCTCAGGGTTTGGTCCAGGCATAATCTATGTGGAACATTATTTTTCCCATGCTTCCTGCTGTTTTTTTTCCTTTTTAAGAGGAGTTGTCCATTCTTGAATCCAAAACATATCTTTACATGCTGAATAATTATTCTGCTGAAATTTGTGCTTGAAAATAACTTGTATAAATGTTTAAGTGTTGCAATGCAATCTCATTAATTGAGCAAAATAGCTCAGAACAATAAATGCAGCAAAACCTACTTGGCATGTCTTTAAACAGACCTTACAAAACTGTCAGTTTTAAACGCATGTTCACAGCAACAAGAAATGGACGTCTAGCATTTACGCACTAGGGACTTCAGCCACGTGCTTATATCATGCCTTGCTACTGAAAGCACTTGCCTTCATGTGCTTTCACTTCTTCATGGCCGTGAACACTTTTCCTGCCTCATAGCTACTTGTGAAATAGGTTGTATGTGGGTGAGGATTAGTCCTGTAAAGCCTCAATTGTCTAAATAGCTCTTGCTTAAGCAAAAGGTAACTTGGAGCCTTGGACTCATGCCTTCAGTATCTGTGCTCATTATTCACCATCCCTATATCGGGGGGGCTTGATTCCATCCTATGGAGCTTTTCACTTCAAGGAGTAAATCTGGAGTTAGCTGTGCCAAGACAATCCCCAAATAAGTGTGCTTTGAGTCACTGCATAATGTGCTTAGCTTAACTAGACTGGTTGTAGCTAAGCAGCTCTTAAAATCAACCAACTGTACTAGGTTGAAGTATCTACCCAAATATCTAAGTTCTGTCTGATATGTGACCTGGTAACATGAAACTCTCCTCATTTTTTGCTAACAGGTGGGTCATTAACGAAGTTGGCTTATTATTCGACTGTGCAGCATAAAGTAGCAAGAGTGAGATCCTTTGATCATTCAGGAAAGGTAAGAATTGCACTGGGTAGCAATCCAGACCCTCTGTAATCTGAAACTGTGACCCAGAATGGAAACACACAAGTCTGAAACACTGAGCTGACTTCCACATTACTGATTTTTTGCGGTGGTACAGCAAGGCAGCACTTTCAGTACATAGGCACTTTCAGACCACAGTCCTAATTAGGAGTTGCTAAATGTCAGCATCTGATCCTGCAAAAATTTCTTTCAATAGGGAGTTGCTGTAAGCTAAACACTTTCAGGAGGTGTGCAAGTTTGAACCAGAAATTAATATGGAAAAAAGCTACTATGGGAGACATTGACCCAGAGAAGCATTTTGAAAACAGGGAGATTGTACGGTCAGTTTGGTGATCCGTGCACATATCTTAACACAGTGCTGTTCTGTCTGAGAAAACATTGTGTGTCTTGAGATCCTAAGCTGCCTTTTCAGCGACTTTTAGGTGAAGGTACTTGAAGAGAGGTGATAGTGTAGGCACACATGGAGCAGAATTCTATTTCCCTTGGTAAGTCTAAATGACAGTTTTCTTGCCAACTACCTGGACGGTTTTGGCCCCTGCTTTGTTTTGGATGCTTAAGCCTGTGCATGTAGGCAGACCAAACGTGCAGTAGGGCTATGCGTGCATATACCTGAGTTTAAGTCCTGGAAAAAAGAGGGAGGCCCTGCCGCAAAAAGAGGACACTCGCCTAGGAAACTGGAGACTTGGATTCTAGACCCCACTCACTGAGAAGGATTTTGTTCTCTGTCTCTGACTCCCCAGCACAGCAACCTAACCACCATGTAGAAGATGAGCCACTTGCATCTTTTAGTCATTGGATAAAATAGTGGGAAGGGCAGTGCTGAAGCTTTTATCCCATTGAGAACTAAGATCTAGGCTAGAACCTAGGCCCTTTTTTCTGTTAAGGCAACAACTGTCTTGCTGAGCCACAAACCTGGCTTGTTTGTTTGCTTCTGACTCCTCGTATGTCCTGCTTTTGGCTGCGTAGGGGCCCAACCCAGACTTGGAAGGAACCATCAGTAAGAGGTTTGGGTAATGCCTGATCTGCAGCATAGTGGTTAGAGTGCTTTGTTGGGAAGTCAGCGATGCAAGTTCAAACTTCACATGGACAAGTGTGAGCCTAGAACTGAAGCCTCTGGCTTCCTGAATGAATGCCATAACTGCTTAGGTGTTGGGGCTAAAATATGCATGGACCCTACTCTGCTTAGGTATTGGGGCTAAAATATGCAGGGGCTCTACTCTTCTCAAGTCAAACAGCTGCATTGTCTGACCAGCTACTTTTTCATGACTTAGACACGGGTACCTGTTCAGACTGGAAGAATGTATTTAATCACATGCATGGTTAGCCCCAGTGCATAGCCTACAGGGTGTGTTGTCTCTGTGTAGATCTACTTATGTGTCCACACTGCAGGGGTCATTGAATTTCTGCTTGCTCCTAGGTGGCATTTTTGGCACTTACAGCGCTGAAAAGCTACCACTGAGATCCACAAAAGGGAAACAAAGTCCAACCTGTGGTCAACAAGGGGATTCTAGGGAAGTTGGACCAACCTGAAATACTTCTAATTGGTCACTGTTGGGAAGGCTCCAAATATTTTTTTACCTAAACTTTTCCAAAAAAAGTTCAGTCAGCGGAAGACAGCTGGCTTGGAAGAGTGCAGCCAGAACTGCTAAATTTTGACAAAGTTATAAGCAAGAGTCTTAAAATGCAAAGTGAACAACAGCTGAACTGTTATGTTACTGCAAGAGACCCATAAAATTACACCATACCTACTGTAGTATCGAGGGAAACATTTTTTTCCTATCTTGGGCTCTTTAGCCATTGTAAACATAAGTGCTCTGATTTTCTCATGCCATTTGCTGGATTAAGTCTGGGAAGAAGTGGTTGTTTGTTTTTTCAGAATAAAGCAACAGCAGTCTTCTGAACTGATCTTTCAGATCACACACATGCTTGTAGGGGGAGGACGGGAGGATGTGAGTGGCCATAGTAGACATAATTAGTTGTGGGCAAAGTATAATATTCAGTAACGTAAAACTGATCAGGAAAAGAACATGTAAAGCCAAAAAGAATAAATACTTAGAGTTGTGGGGTTTTTGTTTGTTTGTTTGTTTGTTTTAAAGGACATCGAGCATGAATCTCCATATGAAGTCACAGTTCAGGAAGAGATCACAGCTCGACTGCACTTCATTAAATTTGAAAACACTTACATTGAAACCTGCCTTGATTTCATTAAAGACCATCTTGTCAACACAGAAACTAAAGTGATCAAAGCCACAGGGGGTGGCGCCTATAAATTCAAAGATCTTATTGAGAAGAAGCTGGGACTAAAGTAAGTGGAAACTGGTTAAGTTATAATTAGTGTTGTTGTTTTCTTAAGTAATAGTATTGTCATTAGAGGTTAGTCTGCATCCTTTAGGACAGGGGTCGGCACCATTTTTGGGCAGAGTGCCAAAAACACCCACACCCATGATTTGTATGATGTTGGTGTGCCAGGGTGGACACTGGGGGAGCTGTGAGAGGTCCAGTCCTTGTTGTGGCAGCACAGCCCTGGCCCCTTCCCTGCTGTCTACCGTAAGGCATGCATGCCAAGCAAAATGCCTTCGCATGACATGCTCTGGCACCTGTGCCAGGGGGGTTGCCTACCCCTGCATTAGGAACTCAAGTTCAGCAAGCCTTGGCTTGGATGGGAGATATCAAGGAATGATGAACTGCTACAGGAATAGACACTGTCAATTCATTAAGAGAGAACTTTCCCTCTGAGCTCGTACTGAATCTCCTCAGCATACTAATAGGTGTCTGTACCAGTATAGTTCATTCATCTTTCACATGATGGAGATCCTTAGAAATCATTCTGCAAATTTGACACAATGTGTCTTGGCTAAACTCCAGCTTTGCTAATATATTCTGCTACATTGCAACTCCTTGAAGCTTCAGTTGCATATGAGAATTCTGGCCTGGTCTGCTATGTAGCATGAATATATGAAGTTAAGCAGTTTGATTTTTTTTTTTTTGCCTCTGGAGTGGCAGCGTTTCAGCAGCGGGCAAGAGATTCTCTGTTAGAGCAGTGCTTCTGATTCACTTTCTGGAGTGGTGTGGATCCCCACCCCCAACATTGATCAGTATCTCAGTGAATTGCACAGCAGAATAATGAGTTGGTGCACTATATAAATGCTTTGAATTCTTTTACAGGAATTGTAAGCAAGAATTGTGAATCTTTAGTCTAGGTAACTATTGTATTGAGATTTCTGACTCTACCACTTTTCCATACAGAACAAATTTACTTGCCGTTTAAGGGTTATAGCTACAAAAGGATGCCGGCACCCAAGTCCGAAACCACCAAGTTGGGAACAAAGGACTGGTGAGGTTTCCTGAACTGTGGAATCCAGTCCTCTGTATTCACAAGCAATCACTTACCCATGAGAGTGCCTGAAATTGCTTCCTCAAACCCTCACAAACAACTACAAGACACAATAATGCCTTACAGTGTGCCACAGGTTAAAACAGGGTAGACAAAGGCACTGTCTATGCCAGAGTGGCCAATGGGCAACCTCTGTATATGGTACACAACAGATATGGGAGAAGGCAGACAGGGCTGGGAGCAGAAAACAGAACAGCAGATCAGGCAGAGGAAGGGAATTGGAGCAGAATTCCAGGAAGGTGCAGGGCTCAATGTGCCTGCCACAAAGGTTGGCTTCCACTGGCCTATGCTATTCCACTGTGATGACAAGGAGCTAATTGGCTAGTTAGTGCATGCTGAGCTTATAGGCTAGTGTGTAGTGGGCAAATTCTCAACCCTTCCTGTTGAAGCTGGTCTGCATCTCAGAAAAGATTTAAAAATCCATTTGGCCGAAGAACAGATGAGAAACAGAATACGACTCTCCAGTCTCCTGATTAGGGCACTTGGCAGGGGTCAAATGTGGAAAGACCAGCATGTTGATCCCTGCTCCAGTAGATGCAAATCATATAAATAGTTAACTGCTTAGTAGTTCACAGGCTGGTGGTTAGTACACCCACCTGGCAAGTGGGAGATGTGGTTAAGTGTTGTCCTTTGCTGGAAGAAATTCAAAACCTCTCATTCAGGATGTGGGAAATGTGTCCTAACCACTAAGCTACGTAAGAAAGGGAGGGTGTATAGTTCTCTCCCTACCTTCTCAAGTGGTGGTGTTTTGAAAGAAAGGGTTTAGGCATTTCTCTTGAGGAGATGGTTCCAGGATCTGTATTCCACCTCAGGTGAGACCCTGGCATCATCACTTTCACAATGTCTTAACTCACTGCTTTAGGCAAGACTCAGATCGTTGTGCTGATTATTGTAAATCCTATCCTGAAGTGACAAAAGTTCCTCAGGCTTCTCATAGGAGGTCTAGGTGCCAGGCTCTGGGTTGTGAATTCTGTCACGGGGAGTAGGCATTTTGGCCCCTTTATTGATCTGGCTCTTAAGTCCACATCTCTAAGCCAGTACAAGTGCTGATGGCTTTTCTGCTTTTTTGTGCTTGTGGTTATTTGTAATTCCATCTATGCTACAAATAAGATTTTATAATGTTCCTGAAACAGTATAGTTGACTCTGTAAGTGTGACTTTTTCCCTTTCTCTTTAGGGTGGATAAAGAAGATGTAATGACCTGCCTAATTAAAGGGTGTAACTTTGTACTAAAAAATATACCACATGAAGTATTTGCCTACCAGAAAGATTCGGATACTGAATTCCGGTTTCAAACAAATCATCCAAATATTTTCCCTTATTTGCTAGTCAACATTGGCTCTGGGGTGTCCATAGTGAAGGTGAGTAAGCCAGTAGACAACATGATTAACTCTTAGTGTATACAAAATGTTCTGTCCTTAAATTGGAGAAAGCATCACCTGAATGGGGTTTATCAAACTGATGTTTTGTGTCTTTTTTGGGTGATGTCTAGTTTTATGCCAAGAGCCTGAAGCCCATGAATGTTAAATTTTCACTTCAAGGTGTTGTACTTGCCTTCCCACCGATTGCCTCCCATCCCCTTTCATTAAAATAATCCTCTGCTTGAAGAGGCTAATGCAGCAACTGCAGATGACAAACGCACAGTGCCCAAACACGTGGCAACAACCTGTGAAAAGCAGTCCAATGTCCGTGCTGAGCTTAAGTCTAAAATCTTAAACAGGAATAAATTTCAACATTTCTTACATTTTTGTTTTTTTGAAAGCAAACCCACCACAGGTGTTCAGTGCTGCGCAAAATAGGAATACCTGTTTAACTGTCTCAGGGTCTCCTATAAAACGCTCATTTTGGAGGAGAGGGATACTGTTTGCCACAGTCACAGGAGTATTGAAAAAATAGGTACAGTAAATCAAAAGGTTTTAGGTTATAATAGTGATAAATGATCACAGACAAAGTAGACCACCTGGTAACATTGTGGTTAGAGCAGCCCCTTAACTAAACCAGGTTGACCACCTGTCACAGGGCGGGGTCCTAGGAGCAGCCATGATCTCTCCTAGCACCCCCCTACCGTGCCACGTTGGTATAAATGCACCCTTGTTCTCGCCTGCCACGTCTTTCATGACAAAAGTATTAAGGGAGGCTGCCTTTTGCCCCCTTGGACACGGTACCCCTGATGTCTCCCAGTTTGTGTCCCGTCTTAGCGGGCCCCGTGAATTAAAGCCTCAAGGGCTACGTGTGGCTTCTGCCACCCCTGATACCATGCCCCAAGCCTCTCAGATGTCCCAGACGTTGTTTAGTCAAGTACTGTTGCCCGCGCCCTCACAGACGCCCTCTGGGCTTGTCTCCTACGATTGCCCTCCCTGGGGCGTCTCCTATCTCTGTACTCTTGCCAGCACTGGGGCCTTGCCTCGCGCTCCCCTGCCCGCAGTGGGGCCTTGCCTCGCGATTGGGGCTCAGGTGGCCGCAGCCGTGCCTGGCCCCCAAATCCCCTCCCTGGGACTCCTATTCCTTGTGCACCCTCCCTGGGGCTTAACGCAAGCACCCTCTGGGCTTCTCGCTGGTGCCCACTCTGGTGCTCCTCACAATTGGGGCTCGGGTGGCCGTAGCTGTGCCTGGCCCCCAAATCCCCTCCTCAGGTCTACGATTCTTATACGGCACAGGCGGCCTCGGCCTTACCTGGCCCCCAATGCACTGTGCCCCTTCTCAGGGCTCTGGGGTCAGTGCATCCCTAGATGCGGCACCCTCTCTGGCACCGGGGTCCACACACCATTGTGGAGCCCCTAATGAGGCCTCCTCCAACCCCTATTAGCCTCACCCGGTCCTCTGGTCTTATAAAACTACCAACAGAAAACTCAAGCCCCTGGGCTACAACATAAACTCTAAGCATCTGGCTAAAACACAGTTTCTAAGCCCTCTTGCTAGCCATCATTCAAAACCCTACCAGGGCTTGCTCCACCCAGTCCTCAACCGAAGTTGTTCAGGCCATCTAGCTTCTACAGGCTGCAATACTCCCACAGAGCTCCTTCAATATTAGCAGGGAACTACCTGCTTGGCCTCAGCCTAGGCTGTTTATATAGGCCAGGCCCTGCCCCCTTCTGGTCAGCTGACCGGCTGCGGTTGCCCCAGCAACCGGCACCTGTACCTTTCCCTAGGAGCAGGCACTTCAGTGCCCTGCGACACCACCCCTTTGCATATTCATAGTGGCTAAGAAGTAGCGCTCTATTAAAGGAATTATTCTTGTCAATTCTTTTCACTGGTCTGCAGTAAATGTCATGGGTTTAAACTGAAACACTGACAGAGACAAACCCTGGCAGTCAATTGCCAGAACAGGGTGAGAGGGGAAAAAAATAAGTTACAAGAGCAGTGAGAGATTTCAATGTAGTGTGTAATAGGAAAATGTAACAGAGAATATACTTTGGTTTGTGGGTAATTGCGTATCATTTATTATCGTATTGTGGTAGCATCTAGAGAGTCCGATCAGGATTGCTCTGTACAAATCTATGTGAAGACAACCTCTAATGACTTGACCAGATTCTGATAAGTTTAGAATTTCTTACTGAAATGCATCCACTTCTGCATTGGTGAGGGGCAGCCAAGTGGACAATTCGTTCATGGGCACAAAGTAAATTTTGGCCAGGGTTCTTAAACCACTCCATTGTTTGCTGCCTATATAGTGTAATATATGTATAATTTGGTGTACGCCCATTTGCAAATATATCCACAACTGTTTGCTAAAACGATTGTGTTTGACCGGTAGGTGGAAATGGAGGACAAGTTTGAATGGATTGGAGGGAGCTCAATCGGAGGGGGCACTTTCTGGGGTCTTGGAGCTTTACTCACAAAAACCAAGGTATTGTGGATTACTTTTTAAGAAAAGGGAGAAGTGGAGGGTGCTAATGAAATACTTTCTTCAGGTCACACTCCATAGCCCTTTTAGAAAAGAGGGCCTTGGCTTCAGGAAATGAAATGTCGCTTCAAAGTCCAGTAGATTCAGGTTTTATCTTATGCACAGCATTTATTTCCAAATCTATTTTTTTTTAAAGAACCACTGCTTCTATGTGGACATCGTAGTATAGAAATGATAACTATTTTTTTAATATTGCTAATCTTAAATATTCCATTCTCACCTGCCTTGTCTGCCTTATCTGTTACGGTGCTAACCTGGACCCTTGAGTTGAGATGGCACTTCTTGCAATGCAAGTGCATGAGAGCCAGCTGTAAACATCATTAGAAATGGGACAAGAAAATAGGATGCCTGTCCTGTGACAAAAGGCCAAAAGCATGTGGAGTGTAAGAGGTTTCCAGCTCGTGGGCAGGGTTTGTAGACACTGGATTGTGAAGAGGGAAGCGGGCAACTTCCCTATCTCACTCCAAAGGATTGTTTTTCTGGTCGGGTACAACTCCATACAGTCCAATCCCGGCTATCTGTTGATTTATTTGTGTATCTTGTGTTCAAGAATCACTGGTCTGGTCTTCAAATCTTAAGTCTAGGCTAAAGTTTAACATGCTCACTCTGCAGAGAGGAAAGAGTTCAAATATTGCAGTAATCTGCAGTTGGGGAGATTTCTCATTTCTCTCCCCTGCTCTTGAGGGGATTCAAGACATTTAAGATTACCAGAGGATAATCTGCTGTGTCACAATCTGATCTGGTGCCATTCTGCTTATCTCATATAATTAAATCCTGTTGTTTTTCTGTCTCCAAACATCCATGTGGCTTAAATAAGTATCTTTAAATGTCAGCAGTGTCACAGAAGATATGGTTACATATCATGAACTCATCAAGAAAATGTCAAAAGGGAAGAGCTCATATTGGCAATATTGTCCCTTTAAAAGACTGGTGCTGTGTCAACAGGTCCTTTCATTTATATTGGATTTCAAAGTGTGTGTGGGGGTGGAATTTTAATAGTGTTCACAGCTAAAGTGGAATAGCCCAGACAAGGCCCAGTCCACTGCAAGGATATATTTTTTTAGTGATGCTGCTTCTGAGAAGGCAGTCTTTACAGATGCTAGTTATTATTTTTAATTTTTCTCTGACCCAGAAAGACCTGATCTTGCTGACCGTAGTATTAATCCATTTAGACTTCCATCCTAGATAGCTGATACAGAGGCTATAATTGTGACAGGCTTCTGTTTGCATTGAGGTCTTAAGGGTTGCTTAACTGTATCAGTCTTCAAGTTATAATGGATGGAAGGAAAGGAGAATGAATATGAAGTTTATCCAGTATTGTTCTTATGAGCATGAGTGCGGTTTGTGTAGGAATATGTTATCCTGCTAATCTGGGTGAGTTGAAGGGTGCTGAGCTAAGGTTTTTTTTTTTGCTAATCTGCTTTTTGAAATGCAATAAAATCCAAAGTGACAGGCCAGATTCTATCTGCTTATGCTCATGCAGTCCCATTTGAAGGGAAGTTTTAAGCTTTTTCTATTGGGATTGCATGGGTGTATCTGAGGTCAGGATGTGGCACATTATAGTTTAATTTAAGCCTGTGATAGCCTTGGGCAGAAGTTGTCTGCAAGTGAAGTGAAAAACAAACAAGTTTGGATTATAGTTCAACCTACTCTTGGTCTCACGTCTACTCTTCTAAGGAAAGTTCTTTTGATCATCAGGGGCCTGTCTGGGAGAGGACTGCTTGTGAGTGACTGTTGTTAAAGGTGGCAATGCTCTGCATTAAGAGTGCACTGGGTAGTTGGGACCAGTAACCTGAGATAACCCCCACTGACAGAAGTTACTCTCTTTTTTTTTTTTTTAAATACTGTGCTCAGTACAGGGTACTGCCAGATGTCAGCCTTTGGATTAGATTTCCTGGCCATCCAAGAAACCTGGAGTTAATGGTATTTGCTTCTTTTCCTCAGAAATTTGATGAACTGCTACAGCTTGCGTCAAAGGGACAGCACACAAATGTAGACATGCTGGTGAAAGATGTGTATGGAGGAGCCTGCCAGACTCTGGGTCTAAGTGGAAATCTAATAGCTAGCAGCTTTGGGAAATCTGCCACAGCAGATAAAGGTATCAACACAGACAAGGTTTGCCAGAGACTTGCTTCCTAGTTCATAATACTTTCCTCATTGCCATGAGTGTTTCCTGATTGTGCAATTTCCTATTCGCTCTTTCAGACACTGATAGGAGGGGGAATGTTGTTGCCATGAAACATTCAGTACCAATTTCCCCATCTTGTGCATAGGTGTAGGATGCTTTTTATAAGTAATGCTGTTTCTATTGCCCCAGTTCTTCAGTTTTCCTTTCTAGCTAGTGGAGAGGCATGGAGGCAGCCATACCTTCCCTGAAGATTTGAGGGTCCTCTCTCACTCCAGAAAGTGTTCTTGGTTAGCCGCCTATGCTACAGCAAGCCCCTATACCACTTGTCCTTTGCAGAGTGTGCTCTAGGTCCTCAACTGATCATAATCAAGCCTGCTCTAGAGTTTTCCTGTCTAGGTTGGGGAGCCGGTATAGCCACAGAATCCAGTCCCAAATTGGAACTGTTTTAGCCCTGCTCAAACAGGGCATTGTGGTGTTCATCTTTTCAGGTTTAAGGAGGTGGGGATGCAGAGACTTGGGGAAGGAAGGAGAAAATATATTTGTATTAACTCAAAAAAACCAGCAGTAATTTCCCCTCCCCTTGGAGAGAGAGACCTCTGGCTTTGGGAGGTCCTAAATATTTAACTGTCCTAGGATGTGCTGCATACATGGTGAAACACCCACAGTGCTGAAACCTGCAAGTCCTGGAAGGGCTGACCTCAGCCTCAAGCCATCTAAAATAGTGGGCCTTTTGGGCCCCTGGGCAGATGAGTGTTGTGGGGCTCATCTGCAGGCTGGATTGGGTCCCGGGGGCCTGGCACCACTCCCACCTGGCCCTGTGGGCTGGAATCAGGTGTCGGATCTAGTGCGCAGGGCCTGGGGCTTCCCACATGTTCAAAGATTTGGCATTAGGAAAGTGGAGATTGAGCACACGTTATCTAAGAAGTAATGAATTGACTTCCTGCAGTTTGCAGTGTATGTGCTTATCTTCCTATAGCATCCTTCAAAGGGGCACTTCATCCAAGGTTTGAGGCTTGCCACAGTATCCTCAGCCAAATTTCTTCTCTCCTCCCTGTTTTCTGTAACATGTTAATGATGCTGTGTTCTGTATATAATCTATGAAGCGCTTTGAAGGGAAGAAAGTTACCGGTGTGGCTCGTTCATTCTTTTGTTAGAAGTTGTGCTCATTCTGTTGAACAAAAAAAGCACCACAACACAGAGGCATCAGTGCCATAAAATTACCTGTCTTAATCCCCCTTTGAAAGTGAATGGACAGTACGTAAAGAGGACTGAATTTCCTTTTTGTCTCCTAAATTGTAAAGCCAAGTTCATTGCTCTTTTAGTCAGTCTAATGAAGCCAGTGAAGCTAGTTCAAGAATAAGTTTTTCCTGTAGTCTGTCTATAAGAATAAGTGTCTGCTTAAGCAGTATTCAGCCATCTTTAATATGCTTTGCTCTCTTTTAGACTTTTCTAAAGAAGATATGGCAAAGAGCTTACTGCACATGATCAGCAATGACATTGGTCAGCTTGCCTGCCTCTATGCCAAGCTCCATAATCTAGACAAAATCTATTTTGGAGGATTCTTTATTCGGGGTCATCCAGTTACTATGCGCACAATCACCTACAGTATTAACTTCTTTTCCAAGGTACTGAAGATTAAACTGCCCCAGGAGCAGTCCAACACATTTGGGTATCTGCTGGGAAACTTTAATATGCTGTTAGTTTCAAGTGTAGCGAAAAGGAAACATGATCAGATTAATGCATAAGGGGTATTCTAAGATTAATGATCTAAGGCAACTTGCTAGAGCCATGCTGTTTTTGGAAATCAAGGGCTGTTTATAGAGAGAGGTTGTGTAAAAGAGTCTGAGTTGTCTTAAACTAGCTCAGCTGCCCTGTAGCTGTTCAGTATTGATTATTATTTTTAACCAAATCCTTTGCCTGCTGTAGAGATGATGCAGTTTCTTATGCTGATTTCACCCCTCTTAACTCCTTCCTCCTTTTTCAGGATGGGATTATTCCTCTGAGATAACTCAAGTAATATTATCTTGTAAGAAATACTGACTGCCGTTCTTTCAAGGAAGGCTGGTATCTGAAAGAACTTCAGAAACAAAAAAACCCACCAACAACTTTTGATGGCTTCCCTTTGTGCAGAACCCTGGTTCTGGAAGTTTTTTTTTGTTTGGGAAATGATGCTGCAAGCCAACAGTTGATATATGTTGTCAGCTTGGCACAAGGCAGGGACTGGAGAGATTAGTGTTCATCATTGTGGTGCTTTTATGAAGTTAATAGAACATGGATGCCTAGGCTTCAAAGCTCTACTCTCTCTTCTTAATGCTCCCAGGTGGGGTCTTATGAACCTAGTTTTCATTTACCTTGGGTTTTGTTCTATCCCACCCACACAATTCCTTGTTATAGAATAGGAGCAGGCTTTATCAAAGGGCACAGGTTTTTTGACTTAGACTGAGTTATGAAGTCATCCTTGGTCCTCTCTCTCTCTCTTTCTAGCAAGTGGTCATGTTCTTCAGTTTAGAATGGAGCCATTTAGTCTCTTCACTTGCAAATCCCTTAAGATTTTCCTCCGTTACTGAGGAAATGGGAACTTTGCTGCTAATGAAGTATTCCCAATTCTCCCTGAATATTCTTGTTGTGCTGGGGATGGTGCTGACAAATAAGTGGGTGTGGGAAGGGAGGGAAGAAATCAGGGTGGGGGAAGTGCATATAAGTTTCCTACATTTGCATGGAAAAGCCATCTTATTCTTGGATCTTGAAAGCCAGCAAAACAATAGTGAGCAAAACGGAGGAAAGAAAAGGAAATTAGGGTAATGGCTTTAGAATATCTGGGATGCACGCTGCCAGATGCCCTTATGTTTCAAGCCCTTTCGAGCAAAGGGAGCTGAATAACCCTGGGATGTTACGGTGTTTTTTTGTACTGAGATGCTGGCTTCTCTACAGCTCCATGGCTGTTCCATCTTAGAACAAGAAACCACTGTATTCCTCCAGGTGTCTCCCTGAGCTGCCTTGTCAGGATGGTGGGTATCAGTAGCACATGCTAAAGGCACATTTCAAACACCCCGCGAGTTATTAAAATGTTTTAGAATATAGCATGGATAAAATATCAAAAGCGTTCAAGCCGGTTTGTCTATTATGCTTAAGTGTGAATTAGTGACAAAGTGCATGCCAGCCATCAGGGGCCATCCAAATGCAATGTTTCATATTGTGGCAGGGAGAGGTTCAGGCATTGTTCCTGAGACATGAAGGCTACCTGGGAGCCATTGGGGCATTTTTAAAAGGAGCTGAACAAGACAGTAAGTACAGCATTGCTATGTTCTGTATCTGCTGTGTTTGAAACCTCAGTGTGACGTCCAAGCTTCTTGCAGGAGGCTGCATGTCAATCGTTGGCTAATTAAATACATTTGGCATTAACGGCATAATGTTTTTAAATGGTCACTTCTGTTCTTCTGGCAAGGACAAGTACATTCCTCACACCATTTCCTTGCTCCCCTTTGAGAGGCCAGAAGCTTTGGCTTTTACTCCTGCATCTGTGCCAAGAGCTGTCTCCTCTCTAAAAGCAGAGGGAACAGCTAGGCTTAGGATACAGTTCTTCTCTGGTTAGGCCAGGCTGTGAATTCAGTGAAGATGTTACAGGTTGCCTGTTTTGCCCTGCCCCCCCTCTGGTTATATCACTCTAGGAGTACTGTACAGACGAGCCACTCAATCTGTTAGTGTGCATTAGGCTGGGAACAATCCCAATTCAGTACTGGGGTTAATAGTTCAGATTTGAAATTTTACACAAGTTAAACCTCAGAAGACTTTTCCTACCCATTTAGAGATGGGGGTGGGGATAGAGACACTCTTAAGTTCAGAACCTTCACCTACATACTGTAGAGTTGGGGACCAGAGCTAGGAATCCCTGGCCACAGCAAGTATGCTTCCTCTGTTGCCCTCTGCTGCACACCATGCCTTTAGTGCATCCATCGATTGAGAACCTTTTTTTCCTAGAATTAGCTTTAAAGAAGTTTGTACAAGTAACTTGTACTAATGCATTTTTATCAGGAGAAGTGCTCTAAGTGTGCAAGTTGAAGGGTCAGAAAAGTTAACCACTGATGCTCCCTTGTGAGCTATATAAAGATGGGGATGCTCTCTAACTCCTAGTTTTAATACTAGGAATGAAGGTTGCGTTCTCTGGCCCCTCCCTCAAGTAAGAAATAATTAGCCCCTTCCCCTATCCGCCAAACTAGTTAGTTACCCATTTAGTCAAGTTGTTCTGTCATTAAAAACTAGTTTCTACAGCTGTTTCCCTTGCATTTCTCACCTGTTAAATAAGAAATAAAATACTTACAAGGAGGCATGTTGCCATTAGAATCAGTCACAGTGTAAGTAGCCTTACTATTGGTTTATGGCCTCTTGTTACCTCTCTTCCTCCAGATCCCAACCAGTACAGCTGGGGAGAGAATTATGCTGGGAGTTCTGGCCTCATGAGCACTTCGCCTGATCTTTGCCCCATGCAGCGTACAAGGAGTGGCACGGTAAGTTGTTGCCTTCCTGAGAGCAAACACTGGCTTGCCCAATTTACAGTTTGAAACCTGCATGTGACTTGAGAAACAATACAACTAACAGCTTCCCACCTGCTTTCCCAGCCGCTTCCCACCTCCAAGCCATGTACCAAAAGGACTTTAATACGTACTTTTAAAGTGCTGGGTGCTTTTCTTTATCTTGTTTGAACTGAAAGGTTCAGGCAGATGCATTTTTAAGGATGGTAGGAAAGAATAAGTGGATCAAATTAGGATGGTACCTAGGAAGCATGAGAGAGAAATGTATGAGTAGCAGAGAGATGCAGGAGATAAGTGGGACAGGATGGTAGAACACATTATTCCAGAGCAGAGAACAAGAGCTGAAGCTGTTGACACAAAATCTGGAGGAACTGAGCCCTTCTTCCATGTACCTAGGTGTGATAACTTCTAGCCCAGGCCTGGAGGTCAACTTAGGGAGTTTTGATGTGCTGCTGCGAGCTGGGTCAGCATGGACCCCTCCCCCAAACCACCTTGCTCGCAACAGCTCACCAAAACTCCCTAACTGGTCTGGGGTTGCCTGATGGAGCAGGCAGGTGGGGTCTCCATGGAGACCAGCCTGGGACCACCATGGGCAGGGAGTGCGTGGCCAGGCAGATGCAATGGGGCTGAAGGGAGCGGTGTCTGGGAGCAGGATGAGTGCCCAGGGCAGGGCCAGGATCGGAGGGTGGTGCCAGGAAGCAGAGTCCAGTTGTCAGACCACCCCAGCCCCACTACATGCCCAGGGGCAGCAGGACCAGTTGCACATGCTACAGCCTGCGCTGCCTCCTGTACATGGGCTGAGGGACCTGCCACAGGCTAACTAAAAATCCCTTCATGGCCTGGATTTGGCCCGGGGCTGTATTTTGCCTGTGCCTGTTCTAGCCAATCCAGTTACCAAGCCTAACATACAGATTGCAGCTGCTACTTTGGCTGACTCTGTTTTGTTGAAGGGGAGAATGTTTTCCCTCAGCCACTTAAACACTTAGAGCTGCTTTGAAGTATTGGCAGTGCACATAAAAGCATGGAAATGCCAAAAGTCTGAGATAATAGTGAAGACATGTATGGGTGGGCAGAAAAGTGCAAGCACAAGACAAGATCCATTAACAGCACAACCTACCTTTTGACTGCAGTCCATGTTCAAAGGTAGACCACAGACTGACTGCTCTAGGGGCATGTCTACACATTGCCATATGGCGACATTGCTACAGTGCCATCCTTTAGTACTTCCTTTTGTTACTTCCAGAAAGACTCCAAGCTCACCCAAGCACTGCATGCCATGAGCAGAGGAAATCTTCCCACAATTCCACTTCTTCCTCTGGCTCTTGATATTTTTACACCCCACTTCCTTTTTCTACTGCCCTTTAGTTAGAGCCAATCACAGAAGGACTGCATTGTAGACACATGCCAATTTTTTTACACCATGCCAGCTGAAACACTTTGGGAAAATGACTTGAAGGGTTCTTGTGGCACTCAATGTGTGTTTCTGTGTCTGCAGTATTTTACTGTCTAGCATGTTTGATGCTTTTCATGCCTGTCTTTTTTTTTTTTAATTTTCCTTTTACTTCATCCTACACTGATTTATCGCCTTCCAGTTTTCAGTAAGTAGCATCCTATATTTGGCTAGTTTTCCATTTAAAAAAAATGAATCTGTTCAACCTCTGTTTGCAGAAAACCTGCAAAGCCGCTTTTGAATGCTTCCACAGCTTGACCCATCAGTAATGCCCTGTGCAAAGATAATAAATGTTGTGATTGTGCCTAAGTTCAAATTCAGTTTCCTTCATCTGCCAGTTGCACAGAAAAATCACATTACAAACAAAGATTACAGCTATAATCAAAGAGATGATTGTCCCATGGATAAGAAAGAGTATCATACAGAGCAGGCAGTGAAATGTGTTGTTAATTATTTACTGTATTTCATGGTGTATAAAGTGAGGTTTGAAGCCCAATTTTGGGTCTTAAAAATCAAACTCTACTAATACACCATGCCACATCAAAAAATCAGGCATGGGGCTGGGCTTAGCACCTGGATGGCACGGCCCTATCCCCTGCAAGCAGCACTGCCTGGGCTGTACCAGTGCCGCTTGCAGGGGATGAGGCAGTGCCAGCCAAGCCCAACTCTGTCCCCATCCTGTGCGAGCGGCGCCAGGCTTGCAGGGGCTGACGGCATGCCACCTAAGCCCAGCCCTGTCCCCTGTGAGCAGTGCCGGGCTCAGCATTCGGCAGTGCCATTCGCAGCAGACGGGGCCAGGCTCAGCACTTGGGTGGTGTGGCCCCATCCCCTGCAAGTGGCCTAGGCAGTGCCACTCGCAGGGGATGGAGCTGTGCCAGTCAAGTGCTGAGCCCAGCCCTGTCCTCTGCAAGCAGCGCTGGGCTGAGTGCTGCTTGCAGGGAACGGGGTCAGGGCTGGGCTCAGCACTTGGCTGGGGACGCGCCACTCACGGGGGATGGGGACAGGTTTGGCGCTCAGCTGGTGCAGCCCCATCCCCTGCGAGCAGTGCCAGCAGCACCGTTTGCAGGGGATGAGGCTGCACCAGCTGAGCCAGGCCCCAACTTGTATACTGTGCCTATGAAAATCCTTACTATTCAAATTGGAAAGCTGGGGGTCGACCTACACAGTGTGTCAACCTATATACACTGTGAAATATGTTACACCAAATAATGATTGGGGTGTGCAAAATGGGCCCTATTCGATTTGAATTTTGCCCGAATTGGGGACAGTGATTCAGTTCGTTGATTCAGATCACTGTCTCCGAATCAATTTGGCCAATCTGAAGATTTGATTTGGAGAATCAGCAATTCAGCCATAGATGCAGCTTTAAATGTTTTTTTTTTTTTTTCTACATACCTCGAGGTACCAGGCACAGCTTGTGATCGCTGCAATGCTGGGGTGCATGGAGCATCCCACAGGAATGCGGAGGGAACCCCTGCATGCTTGGCAGCAAACCCAGAAGCAGACCAGAAGTACGTCCTGTGGAATGCTCCATCCTGGGTGTCCCCCCACCCCACAGACCCAGGAGGCTCCAGTTACTAAGCCAGGAGGTTGCAGGGGGTCCCCTCCACACTCTCCCTGGCAGACCCACAAGTGCTTCCAGTCCACTTCTGGGTCTTCGGCCAAGCGTGTTAGGGAGCCCCCTGCACTCCTGTGGGACGCTCTGTCTGCCCCAGCACCACAGCGATCATGAGCCACCTGCTACCTAGAGGTATGTAGAAAAAACATTTAAAGCTGTGCCTATGTCTGAATCGCTGAATCTCTCTGAATCAACTTGGAGGGTTCCGACTGGATTCAGAGAGATTAAAGGGTCCACTGATTTGATTCAGAGATTCAGCCGCCGAATTGGGCCGCATCTCCACTGAATCGAATCAGGGACCCAAGCTTCGCACAGCCATAGTCATGATCTTATACTCAGAGAGATTTTTATTTAAATGGCTTGTCATGTTGGATCCAGACTCAAAGATCAGTTAAAAGAAATTCTAGACCAGATGACATACATTGTGCACTATATTTTAGGTTTGAATTTCTCTGTTGGTTGCACAAGGAGAGATCTCATGACACCAACTAAAAAAAAACAGTTTGCTTAGAAAGAGTGAAATATACACTAACAGCCATTCCAGTGAGCAATAAATAGGTCACGTCATTATATACACAAGGTTCCTATTATATTCTGTGTGCGATTTTTTTTTAATTAAGAGACTGAACTTCATAAGATATGGGATTTTGTAAGCCCTTATTGTGGTCATGTGAGACAGGCATTAGTGTGAAGAAAATCAGTCTCTTTAAGAGAGCTGCTTTACTGATGCAGGTTTGGAGGTGAGCAGGCATTCAACCCATGGCAAATATAACAGCTCCCGATCTCAGATAAGTAGCTGCACAGCTTGGCATTTTTTTATTTCCAAAAATTACCCAACAACAGCAGCCGAGTACGAAGCCCATAATTCCTGTTTCTGACAATGCACTTACACATCAGTTATTTTCATACACAGCTGATCTGCTAGGTTGAGCACGAATATATGTTTGTGAATACAGCCAACAGGTGTGCCATCCATTTTATACGTGAACTTAGTGGTCTGTTGCTCAAAAACTGAGCCAAGCACTTGCAAACATCAAAGGGAATGCAAAGCATATCTGTCTTGCGTAATCATTGGAATAGCTAAAGCCTAAAGCAGTAAGTGGAGTTAGTTCAGCTCCTTGAACTATTTCATGTATTCCAGTGTCCTCTGGTTTTGCCAGGCAAGTGCATAAATACACTTTTGAGTTTACTAGGCCTCTTGGTCTGATTTGCTATTTGGGGCCAGCATGTGGTGTGCTCTTCCTGTCTCTCCAGTTCTTCATCCCTAACAGGTTATCTGTTGTTAAATTTTAAGAAAAAGTCTAGGTATTCACACAGACTTGCAAATAACACTGAGATGTCATCCAAATGTTGGAATGCCATCTGATTGATGACGGCTTTACTTTGTTTTGAAGCAAGTACAGTGGGATTTCAACTTGGAATGTTGTGCCTACTGGTGGTGCCTGTTCTTGAAAATTTACCCTTGAACATGGCTTGACATAAGCCTGGCATTTCTAGGGAAGGGCAGCATATAACCAGAAGAGCTA